AATTCTCCATGCTTGTTTTGCAAGTAAAGCATCATTAAATTTTTCTAAATCCTTAAATCCCAAACCCCCATCTTTTTTAGAGTACTGCAAACGCTTCCAAGCTATCCAAGGGATACTACGGTTCTGATTTCCTTTTTCCCACCAGAATTTTTGAAGAACCGATTCTAATTCCGAAATGATACCCAAAGGAAGTTTAAAACAAGACATCGAGTAGACTGGCATGGACATTGCAACAGATTTCAACATAATTTCGTTGCCAGCCGGAGATAAAAAATTCGCACTCCAAGAAGAAGTACGTTGTTTAACACGGTCTATGATGTAATTAAACATTTCTTTCTTCTTTTTTCCAAATTGCTCAGGAAGGCCTAAGTATTTTCCCCCACCCCCATGGTTTGGAATATTTAAAATATTTTTTAATCTATTTTGATTAAATAGAAAAAAATTAAGATAAAGTTTATAATAAAATTGCAAAACTAGAAATCAATATTTATTACATTTAATAAATTTCCTAAAATCTCTCCCTAATAAATCAAATATTTCTCCAACATCTTTATATGATCTTATTTGTTTTCAAATTTATATTATTACATAAACATATGTATAATAAAAATATAATATTTTTTTTTGCATATGTTGCAATTTGAATTTTTAGAAACGGATGTATATTACTCAAACGATACAAAAATGGATGTACTAAATTATTATTGATTTAGGTATAGAAACTAAAAATGCAAGAACCAAAGAAATATGATGTATAGAATAATGAGTCAACAAAAGTTAAAGAAAATAGACGCCAGACTACAAACAAATAAAGATAACCATTTATCCGATTATTTTATTATTTTTGTTGTTTCATTTAAAATAGTTATGATCTATTTCTTGGTATAATGACTTGGATCCCTTTTTATTGATATGGAGATTGAAACAATTATATATTTATATATATATATATATATATATATATATATATATATATAAAATGTAATAAGGCATGTATGTCAAAATTGTTATGTGGTCAATTGTATAGTTTATCTAAGACTATAAGATATGGGATATATAATGTTAAATCTAAATAAAACTGAAATATGTAATCACAAAAGTTATTTATCTTAATACATATCACATTTGATTTTTTATTTTTTATTACATACCATCCATGTTATATTTTTAGGTTCTTCATTTTTTCATACAAATAACTGTATATTAAAATAATTTCTAATGAATTTTTAAAATTATTACAAATTAAGATAAGCAGTGCTGCTGCGACTGAGAGATCCAAGTTACCACAGCTTGAAATCTTAAAGGTGAACTAGACCAAATCTTGCTCACAAAAATGGCTCCAATTTGGATCTCAATGCTACTAGCTAGAACACAAAACACAATGATTTGTAGCCTTGATAATACTAGAGCACTATTTTGTGGATAGTCTTATAAAGCACTATTATCAATAGTATCTTAACAAATTTTAGAGTTAAGATTTGTTAAGATTTGCTCTTATATAAACCACGTAATGAATGAATAACAACGTAGTATCACTTCTTTAAACCATACGATTTTTTTTTGCATCGTAGAAAATATGAAACATATCTTCACTTTAGGGCTACACTATATATAGTGAACTCCATATCACTCATAGTGTGAATTTGTTGTGATCACATTGAGAAAACTTAAGTCTTTCTCGCCAATCCTTCGTTCATATTGTGAGATTATAATCCTTTTTTTTGTTTTTGGCTTTGTCGTCCCGTTCAGACATTCCCACATTGCAAACGCATTTTGAACGTGTTTTTTCTTATACACACTTCGTTTTTCTCGTTCCTAAAATTTGTATATATGTTAATGCATTATTATTTCTATTGCTTTTGCTTATTGTAATAATATCATTTTATAAAATTCAAGCTTATGATTTTGATACTGCAGTTGTCAGTTCAGTTGATATATTATTATTAATATATAGCCCTTAAATGTTAGGAGACGTATCCACGTTTACCACCTACTAACGTATATGTATGTAATGTGAGGGGTTTGTTTTTTCTCTTTTTCTGAGTTTGTTTTTTTCACAAACTTAATTTCATTAACTAGATAAAAACTACAATTAGCAAAATAAATAAATAAATAATATATATATATATATATAACTGCTATCTGCGATATGGCATTTTTTGTGCCAAGAAAATAATTTAACGTATAAAAAAATAAGTTGCAACATCGGACGTTTTTATTACTCTCTTTTGTTTGTTTTTCCCCTACAATTTTTGAACCCAACAAAACAAAAAAAAACATGTCCTAATCGATACATTGCTTGGAATGAAACCCACTACTATTTTTTTTTTGAAAAAAAAAATCGACTTTGATTAATATATAAGGGATATCTAAATCCTAAGGTTTGAAAATACTTTTTTTATGTTGAAGATGTTTGACACAGGTAAGTATATATCATCTCGTCTCGTGTCGTCTAAATTAAAGCTGAAAAAAGAAAATCATCAAAAGCGTGTAATTATAGTCAAGACTTGCATTGATTAGATTGAGTCATATTGGTCCATAAATACAATATAATTAAAACTTGATTAATATAATAAAGTAGGTCAATAATTCGGATGGTTAACCACAGCAACATAATTTTAATGATTTCCTATCACACAGACCCATTTCTCTACTTTATCAACACGTTTTTTTGTGTATTTAAGTATTTAAATGAAACACATGAGAAATTTTCATTAAAGTTTTAACTTACAAAATTACACTAACGATGCTTACGGTAGCTATTATATTATTTTATACCATATTGAATGCCCAAACCACGTTTCCACTTCCTAGACAAATGAATGAATGATACTAAAATATACCTACTCCTTTTTTTGTTTTTTGTATTCACTAAAATATACTACCTATAATATGACCGTAAGCTTTTAGTAAATTACTTTTCAAAGTTTATTGCTATTTCCATGAATAATGGTTTTGAGTATAAAAGTTAGCACACTAAGATCGAACCATCGTAACGGAATCGGAACCGAGTCATAGATAATCAAGTAATGCTTAGTAATGGGCTGAGTATAAAAACAAAGAGAAAGAGAAGAGTAATTGGGCCATGCAGGCCCATATAAAAAAACAAGCTAATACATAATAAGGTGAGAAATAGAGAGACTACCCATTGATTTATTAAGCTTGTAAAACCTTTGATTAGTACTTTAGTAGCGATTGATCAGGCAAACAAAACATGTCATGGGATCTGATACTATATATGAAGAATCATGGTATTAGGATTTACTTCAATCTTATTTATTTAGATACGGTTCTATCTATAAGGCAACTTGTAAATGTATAAATACTACTCTTGACATATGGAATAAACAACTTTTGCATTCTATTCAATATATTTCATGGTATCAGAGCAAGAGATTCTGACCTAATTTTCTTCTTCTTCTTCTTTGTTCATCACCGCCGTCACAACGTTTTGTGACTGTTTCTACATTCAAAACACTTGATTCTATATTCTATTTTCTATTTTCTATCTCTTTTACGATGTCGGGTTCAGAAGATCTACCCGCTCCACCTGCTGCACCTCAGTTACTCGGTTCATCTAACCCTAATCCCCCTGTCGTGGCCACCACGTCTTCAAACCCTTATGCTATGAGCTCCTCTGATAATCCTGGAGCTTTGATCTCCTCTGTTATCTTGCAAGAAGATAATTATACTGAATGGGCAACTGAACTTCGCAACTCGCTTCAAGCCAAATTCAAAACTGGCTTCATTGACGGCACAACACCACGACCAGCAGCTGATCCCGAGCTAGCGCAATGGCAGGCTGCAAATTCTATGATCATTGGATGGATTCGTACGTCCATTGCTCCTCACATTCGTTCTATTGTTTCTTTTCTCTCCGAAGCTTCTATTCTTTGGGAAAGCCTCCGTGTTCGTTTTTCGGTTGGAAACGGAGTCCGGAAACAAGTTCTTAAGGATGAAATTGCTTTATGCAAACAAGATGGTCAAACCGTTCTTCAATACTATGGCCGCTTGTCTAAGCTTTGGGAAGAGCAACGTAACTACACCTCTCATCATCTATGTCGTTGTGAAGTTTCTCCTCTTCTCGTCAAGGAGCGTGAAGATGATAAGATTCATCAATTCCTTTTTGGTCTTGATTTACCACGGTTTGCTAATATTCGTTCAAAGATCACCGACGAGGATCCTCTGCCTTCACTCAATCAAGTCTACTCGCGTGTGATTCGGGAAGAACAAAATCTCGAAGTTACTCGCCTCAAAGAAACTCCAAAACCAGACGCCATCGGTTTTTCTGTTCAAACCGAGTCTTCTTCCCAAGTCGCTGCCGTCTCTACTTCCAAGTCTCGTGATCGATCATGTACTCATTGTCGCCGTAAAGGTCATGACGTCACATAATGTTTTTTGCTCCATGGTTTTCCCGAATGGTACTATGAACAGAAAGGGAGTGGTCGTGGCTCTTCTGAAACAAAATCTAGTCAACGTGGAGGACGTACTAACCCAGGGACAGGTCGTGGCCGTGGTCGGGTTAACAATGCTCAGGTCGTGTCTACCTCGGCTACTCCCACGGACCAGATTTCTCACTTGATCTCTCTTCTCCAAGCTTAACGTCCTAATGTTTCCTCTGAACGGTTGTCGGGTAACACTTGTCTCACTGATGTTATTATTGATACTTGTGCTTCTCATCACATGACAGGAGATTTGTCTATTCTAATTGATGTTTGTGATATTTTTCCATCTCGGGTCACTAAACCGGATGGGACAGCCTCACGTGCAACTAAGAGTGGAACTCTTCCTCTAAACTCCACATATAAGCTTCGTGATGTGTTATTTGTTCCTGATTTTGATTGCACATTGATCTCGGTGTCCAAGTTACTCAAACAAACGGGTTCTATTGCAATATTTACTGATACTTTGTGTTTCTTACATGACCGTTTTTCGAGGACTTTGATTGGGGCGGGGGAAGAACGTGAGGGTGTCTACTATTTTACGGGTGTTTTGGCTGCTCGTGCTCACAATGCTTCATCTACCTCTGCGATGTCTGGAGCTTTGTGGCATAGGAGATTAGGCCATCCTTCTACTTCTGTTTTGAATTCTTTACCTGAGTGTCATCAATCTTCTCAAGATGTTAGCAAGATTGAGAGTTGTGACATTTGTTTTCGTGCTAAACAAACACGTGAAGTTTTTCCTCTTAGCATTAATAAAACTTTGGAATGTTTTTCATTAGTTCATTGTGATGTTTGGGGTCCATATCGTACTCCATCAACTACTGGTGCCGTATACTTTCTAACACTTGTTGATGACTTCTCTCGGTCTGTTTGGACTTATTTAATGGCACCATATCATTAATGAAGCTGGTATGCTTGGTTCTAAGCCTTCCGCTGTTCCAATGGAACTCAATCACAAGCTTGGTTCCGTCACGGGTCCGGAGTATGCTGATCCCGAACAATACCGTCGTCTCGTTGGTCGGTTCATTTATCTTACGATCACACGACCAGATCTTACGTATGCTGTCCATATTCTTTCACAGTTTATGAAAGCACCCCTTGATGCTCACTGGGAAGCTGCTCTACGCTTGGTTAGCTACCTCAAAGGGTCTCCTGCACAAGGAATTTTTCTTCGCTCCGACAGTCACTTGTCTCTCACGGCCTATTGAGACTCGGATCTTAGTGCTTGTCCTCGGACTCGCCGTTATCTTTCGGCTTATATTGTGTATCTTGGTGATTCTCCTATTTCTTGGAAAACCAAGAAACAAAACACCGTGTCTTCTTCTTCCGCTGAAGCTGAATATCGCGCCATGGCCTACACACTCAAGGAAATCAAATGGTTAAAGGCTCTTATGACAACATTAGGTGTTGATCATACACATCCTATTCCTCTCTTTTGTGATAGTCAGGCTGCTATACATATCGCTGCAAATCCGGTGTTCCATGAACGTACGAAACACATTGAACGTGATTGTCACCAAGTTCGAGATGCTGTCCAAGACAAGCTTATTTCTACTGTCCATATTTCTACTCATGATCAAGTTGCTGATCTTCTCACCAAGTCTCTTCCCCGACCACAGTTTGAATTTTTGATGTCCACGTTAGGTATTCGTGATTACGAATTACCAACGTGAGGAGGGGTATTAGGATTTACTTCAATCTTATTTATTTAGATACGGTTCTATCTATAAGGCAACTTGTAAATGTATAAATACTACTCTTGACATATGGAATAAACAACTTTTGCATTCTATTCAATATATTTCACATGGACATCCAATTCAAAATTAATTGACAATGAGTGAATAGACATGTAAACCTTTATATTAGTGTAGAATTTACCCTTCCATAGTAATTTTCTATTTGTTCTTGACCGGTGGTGTTCTTGAGTGAGTTTTTATCTGTTCTTTCAAAAGCTTAGAGATTCACACCCATGTTTCTAGAAGACAAATTGAAAATTACTATGTAAACACTGACACACACAATGTCTTATGTCATTTGATTTCTTCTTCATATCATCAACTCATCAATTTTCTCTTTCAAACCGTAATAATTAAGACAAACGATGTTATTTTATACAGTGATGGGTAGACAAAGAAGACAAGGGTTGTAACTATATTATATATCAAACGTATTATTACAACTTAGAAGAAGGCAAGGAAAATATTTTTTAGGTCTTACAACGTGGATGAGAACTTTAGAAACTATCTCCTTCGGTGGGTTATTAGAGTGGTGGACTGAAGCGAACCTCGAACAGGTGTGATCCCCACCCTACGAAGCTGTTCCTCAGCTTGTTCAATATTAATCCGTAGTTCACGCTCATTAGAACGTGATTGCGCCAGATCTGCTCTCATCCTCCTAATGCGAACCCAAACAGCTCGGGCTTCATCAGCTTGGTATATAACGGTCGCTTCATGGGTACGAGGCCGAGGCTCCACAGCTCTGATGACTGCAGAGACTGCTCTCTGAAGATGACGCTGGCGAGGAGGGCTTTCTTGGAACGGAAGCTCGCCCGGAGCAAATCTCCTTCCCGCACGATGAAGCTGGCCCTCAAGTTGTTCGAAAATAATCCGAGCTTCAAGCTCCATATCAGCCATACTATCCAATTCTGTCTTTACCACCCTATATTCAGCCTTGGCAGCTTCGAGCTGCTCAATTCCAACGGCAACGTAGCGAGGACCTCTGCATACAGTGATCGCTCTTTGGGGAACGAGAGCATGGTCCGTTCTCCTGGTGGCATCATAGTGTGCTGATCTCCTAGGATCCGGAGCATGGTTCGTTCTCTGGGTGGGATCATGGTGCTCTCTCCTAGGAGCGGGAGCAGGGTCTACCGTACGGGAGCGACGTCGAGGGTCCACAGCTACGACTGGAGGGGTTGCTCTATGGGGAACTATAAATAAATTCGATTGGAGTCATCAACAAATTTAAAAAGTCACCATTTTATATAACAAGTTCCCTTGTAAAATATGTTGTTGTTGTATATATTTTTATGCATACTTTGAAACCAAAGACAGATTTAATACATAAAATTCTTATTAGTAACAAAGAAAATTCTTGCATCGATAGAACAATAATTGTAATAAAACAGAGAAATCAAAGATCAAAAAGGTTATATAAACTGGAAAATAAAGATTAATAATATACTGTTCTCTGATGATGAGGCTCTGCGGGTTCTGTCGCGGTGGTGGCTCATCTTTTGTTGTTGTATTGTATTTTGTATGTATGAATGTATCTCCTGAGAGATGGATTCAAATAATCTCTACTCAGCCTAGCTACTCTATATATATCCACAAAACTGGTAGGTTTGATGGAGGCCACGTGTCCTCCTCCGGTATGATCAACGGTGTTTTGGATCCCAGTTTTGCAACCAAACAATATCTTTATGAGCTTGTTCTCTAAGTCTAGTCAACAATATACGCAATCAAATTGATCATCTTTATAATTTTAAAACTATAACGATCCAGTCACAATATTTCACAATCGTTTTCAGTCGTTTCTTCCACGAAAAAATGCCAAAGTTTCCATTCAACTACTAATTGGACCATTTAATCGTTCTCAAACATTTTTTCCGTCGAAATTAACATCCAAAAAAATATCTATCAATGGGGATTTTATTAAGAAATGATAAATACAAGTAGGTTTCACTGCTTTCTCCTTTCATCCTTGTCGAATCCAACAAGTCCAAAAAGCTAAAACAGCCCTTTTCTCAACTTAATAGGTGTTCATACTTTATCAAATGTTTCAAGTCATCATTTTCTATACCACACAGTCCATATACAGTATATAGATATCGCTTGATGGGAAAAATCCAAAATGGAGATCCTCTTTTCTCCATTATTTGATTTATACTTATTTCATCACTAACGGTACGTCATCCTTCACACGTTAACTTACGTCACAACTTCACAATGATTGTCACCAATGAATGTTTCGTTAGCCTTATAATTACAGTTCGAGTTCTAAGGATCACCTAACCATAAGTGCATGTTGTTTAACAAGGTTACACTATCTGGTTTTAAATAAATGTTGTTTTGGCGAAAAGAGATAGATCGAAGAGAACCATTAGAAGAATATGGGGTACATAATTTTTTTTGTTACGTATCCTACATTCATTGATTGAGGAGACATAGAGAAAACAAAACTCAACGTAAAAGCTCATTAATATTTTTCATAAAACAATATAGAAGGAAAAAAGTATACATTAACCCTAAATTAGAAAGGAAAAACACCAAAACTTCTTTTGGTTGGGCCTCATGGTTCTACGTTATGCCGTAATCTGAATCACTTGGGTTCCAAGTAACTTACATATGCATCTATAAACTGTTTTGGTCGGCTATGTGTGAATGTTTAACTACCCAACATGAACGACAACAACTTCGCCTCGTGTCCCATTAGAAAATATCATCCTTGCTTCATTATATCATCTGTTTTACTACGCCCACTATTGTTATTTTATTATATATATGCAATCATGGTACTCAAATTTCAACATATACATATACAAGAAGTCAAAAACATTATGGTAACACAAGATAAAGCGAACGATCAAACCTGTTTAGCATCATATATAAATCGCCAAACAAAGTGACGTTCCTAGAAACAAACTGAAAACCCACAATGTCTTTCATTATAACAAATATATACATAGCGAACAGATTTTCGTCAGATGATAAACTTACTAGTCAGATCTTTCAGCCTCAAATAATACAAAAATGATGGTACGCAAGAATCGAACAAGTTTGCAGTGTACTATCCAGATCGAGTTAACTGTTGTGTAGACAAACAAGACGTGTATTTGTATATAATCTATCAAACATATTATTATTCTATTATTATTTTTGTATGAATGTTAAATTTATTCAAACAAAAAACTTTGCTACAAAATATGCTGTATGCATCCTTAATTATCAAACGTATTATTATTACAAACTTATAAGAAAAGTAAGAGAGTTTTAATTATTACATCTTGGAAGAGCATAGAAAACAAGAAGACAACGGGAAGATAGTAAATGCATCTACATCAAGCGGACCCTTAAGATGAAGCAAAACTATCTGTTTCGGTGGGTTCTCGGTGGGGTACTGGACGGAAGCAAACCCTGAGAAGGCGCATGATTCCAGCACGACGAAGCTGTTCCTCACCTTGTGCAATCTTAATCCAGAGTTCACGCTCATTAGAACTTGAATCAGCCAGAGTTTTCCCTATCTCACTTAGGCGAACCAAGTCAGCTTGGAGATCATCAAAGTCTACTGGACAGGTCTCTTCCTGATCAGGGTCTCCATGTTCAAGCAACTGTAATGATATCTCTCTGTGGATAACGCTTGCGAGGAGGGCTTTCGTTGAACGGAAGCAAACCATGAGCAAATGTCAACCCCGCATCACTAAGCTGCCTCTGAACTTGTTTAAAACGAATATAAGCTTCAAGCTCCTCAGGTTTCTTACTGTTCAGCAGTTCCTTTACCACACTACATTCTACCTTGAGAGCTTTCATCTGTTCAACACCGATAGAAACATCGCCACGACTCGGATGGTCATCACCTCTGTTTACAATCATCACTCTCTCGAGAGCAGGCTCCACAGCTCCCACTACCGTGATTGCTCTCTCGGAAGCTAGAAATAAACAAAATTTGATTAGAGTCATTTAATAAACAAATTTATTAATACTATATTATAATTTCTGTCTAATATTTTTTTTGTTGTCTATGTACTAATGCATATTTTACAACCAAACTGTACAATTTTCTCTTTTATCTCTGTTAATGTAATAAGTAATCAAATAGAAAAATCAAAGAACCCCTAAAAGTGTATTAAGGATACAGTATACATTTTTAAAATACCTCTTACTTAGTAACTATGAAAAAACATAGAACCATATTTGTAATAAAATGGAGATATAATCTATAAATCAAATTAAAGAAGAAGAAAGATATATAAACTGGAAATTCCAACACAAACATATCAATCACATATATCCACTAAAGAAAAAAAAATACATACTGTAATACATATATTTCTCTTAATTAGTTTACGTTTTCAGTAACACGACATTACCATGCATGGTGATGACTCTTCTTAAAGACCATTCACGTGCCTAACACGTACAACACCAAGATATATAGATCTTTGTTATTATAACACAAAACATATTATATATATATAAGTGGTTTAGTCTTGATTATGTATATAAAGGTAGACTTGTCACTTGTTTTTTTTCTCAGGTGATAAATAACTCAGTTGAACCATGCATGTATACTAAAATTATATTGTCAATCGAAACCCAAGTCTGAAAATCGGATGCTCTTTAGTTTATAATTTATAAATAATTAGATAATTTATAATTTTTGTTACAGAAATACATATAACTAGATTTTAACACAAATACTATAGTAGACTAAAATACATGGTTTTTATCCTATAGATCAAATATGGTTTCGCTTAAAAAAAAAAAAAAGATACATGTTGGGCCGTACGGGCTTTAAACATTAGTAATTGATAATTTGATCGACATTCAAGTGAAATATATAATAATTTTTTGGAATCTTCCACATTACGATTTTTTTTTTTTGTTCTTTAAAAAATTGGGAGGGAAGGGTACTGAAGTAGGAAGGGAGCGGAGGAGACGGGAGGGAGCGGAGTCAGCGATTGTGAGTGAAATGACCAGCGACACTAATCTCTCCAGCTTAGTTCACGAACTCCGTGAACGGGTCGCCGCATCCTCCTCCAGTCCGGCCAACAACCTCCGTCACTCTTCCGGAGACGAAGATGCTCTCGAGATTCGATTTCGGGCTGTCATCCCCAATCTTTTGAATACCTACGTTGTTCCTTCTCTCGGTAATTACTGTTTTCTTGTTTCTGTTCCCTTTGCATAATGCTTTAGCTTGGATTTTGCCGGAATTTGGTTTAGGTTAACCTAGGATTTTTCATGTGCTGCTGTATCTGTATGTTGATGAATTGAAACCTTTACCGGCTTGATAGGATACATTCCCACTGTTTCGTTGGAATCTTTTTCTCTCGAATTTAAATTTTAATAGTTCCTTGTCGTGCGTGGACAGGCAACGGGAGGGAAGTCACAGCTGTTCTGAAGCTTGTTGGTCATACAGCAAGGAACATTCCTGGAGTTTTCTATCACGGAAGCCCTGCTGCCATCCTCCCTGTGATTGGTCGTATTATCCCCTTCTTTGCTGAACCAGAGTTTGTGTAAGTTGTTTGACTACAAATTGGGTGTGCCTAGTTCCTGTTTAAGTCATATCTATTCCATGATTGTGTATTTGACTCTATGCACCAATCGATTATGCCCTTTCTATAATTTGATATTTCTGGGTCACTTTACTGTCCTCACTAGTACCTCGCTGTAGTAGAGTGACACAAGCACAATACACATCTGTGTAAAAACTTTTCTAGAAACTCATCTGTCGTTTGTTGCCAATATCCAAACCACAATTTGGAGAAGACAACGGTTAATAGGTGTCACTCGTCATGAGTTTTACTTTAATGCTTTCTTTTGTAAATCAATTGCAGTCCTGCGCATGGAGTAATACTTGAAACTGTTGGATCTCTCTTAATGTTGCTGCGCTCCAACTCAAGGAAGGCGTACCGGATGTTCTTCCATGACGCTTTGCAGGCCATTGAAGGTGATAGTAAGATTTATGACGTTATTTCCTGTTAATATTAATGATATAACCTTTTCCAACTGATTAGAACTTTTATGCACACAAGTCTTATTTTGTTCAATGTGGTCGTGATCTTGTTTACCAATTTGTTTTTTTTTTGGGTGCAAATAATGTTAGAAGGACCAACTTATAGTGGAGATTGTTGCCTGAAAAAAAGACTCCGTGAATGTTAATTATACGTACTATGGTTCCAAAATTCAATTTATACTGAACTAATGTGCCTTTTCAATGTTTCCAGATATGCAATCTATTGCATCACTTCACTCAAATGAACCAGAAATCTGTGAATCTCACATTCCATTTAGGTGCTTCTGTATGTCTTTTCCTGGAATTTGGGGTGATTCTTGCCATCTCTGTGATCTGCCAGATGCTAATAAGCCCAGAGATGGGGATGGTCTTGTGTTAAACTTATTGGGAGCCAGACGATGGCAACCTTTTGCTACTTGTATCCTTAATCTCATCTGTAAATGCCTAACTGAGGGGACACTTTATGTCCAGGGTCTCGTCCATACATCATTTATTAAAGCTGCTTGTTCTTTAGTATGTGGTGGTGGTGCA